TGCAATTCTTCTTTACATGACTTCAGCAGGTGCCACCTCAGAGGGGGTCGAGGGGGTCTGTTTTTTAGGGGGTCTGTATCGCCATTGATATATATTAATCTAATCATGACTATCAGGGAACGTCTTTGACAAAATAAGACATAGCATGCTAGTGACCAATAACTATTATGCAATTCACTTTCCTATGAATGTGTTCCATTGTCCAAGCACTAGCAGTAAAAGTGAATTAAAACCCGTAACTAAAATAAGATGCATCCTATGCAGGTGAAACAGTTAACATGTTCTAAAATTACTTTCCAAATTAACAATACAATCCTTTTTATTTGATGTTCTATTATTTAATTTAATAAATTATGAAGAAAATATTTATTTATTTAAATTCTAATCATAACCTTTATAACTGTAACAGTAGCATAGCAACTCCATGGGACAAAAAAAACTATAACCAGTAGCATGCATATCATATTGATTTATACAAAAAAAACCCATGGCTTTTAAATTAAACAAAAATATAAGCAAAGCAGCGGCCAATTCCTAAAGACGATCTAGAACAATAGCTTGCCTATATACATACAATTATTATATAAAAGCAGCACTGACACAGTGGGCTAGTTAGAGATAATTTTTTCACACAAGCAAACCAGTGGCTACTTCTAATATGGCGGATGAATTTATTGGTTTAATTTCATGAATTTTAATATACAATTTCATGAGAAATATACCTAATTTGTTTTAAGATTGTTGTACATATTATATAATTAAACAAGATAAATAGATTCATAATTTGATAAATTAAATTAAAATACATCCAATAAATCCAGATTAGCTGCCTCACCATGGGTGCTGGAGGAATGTCGACTTCTTTCTTCCAGGATAAGAAAGTTTAGACTGGCTAACGGAGAAACACCTTCTGTTAGCTTTGGTGAACCGACAATGGCAGCACTCTCTCAACACAGGAATAAAATTATAGACACAAACAGACTGATTGTATAATTCTAGAAGACAAAAATCTCTACCAACACCAAGGGAGATGGGCCTCCTTTTATACACCATGGGGGAGAGAGGAGGAGCCTCCAGCCATGAAAGCTAGCAACCAATGCTCATGAAAGCTAGTAACCAATGTCCATGAAGGCTAGCAACTAATTGCCATTACTCGTGCAAAACTACTGGAGTAATGGATCAAAATTGATGAGAAAAAAATATATGATCTATATTTTATGTATATACAAGTGTGTATTTCTGCAACAGACTTAGCCCAAAAAGATTAGGCCGATGGACTACCAATCCGGCCCAACCTAAACCTAACTCAAGTCTTAAGCCTAAGCCCAAGCCCAAGCCCAAGCCCACAATCCACAGACCCGGCCCGGTCCGGGAGGTGCGCGCACGCGCGTATGGCAATTTTGCCATAACCTACTTGGATTATAGTCTTGTCCCAAGCCCATCCTTGATGCTTTCATTCCTCCTTTCTTTCGGAAAATTTGGATGCCCCAAATAGCTCATGCCCTTCTCATAATCTTGAAATGTTAGAATTTCCCATCTTTACCTTCACCTACTCCACTACACACTCCACTTCACCTACCTCCACTTCACCTACCTCCACTTCACCACACACTCCACTTCACCTAACCCACTATCACCTCCACTACACCTACTACCACATTTTCTTCTATATATAGATTGTATAGGAATTGTAATTAATTAATCAGATATCAATCAATAATACATCATTTTTAACATGGTATCAGAGCAAGGTTAAGCAACTTTGTAATTCCGCTTCACCAGCGGGCGGCAACCTCGCCTTGGCCGCCCGCCAGACAAACCCAAATTTCCTTCATTTCTTCTTCAATGGCAGATTCTTCAACAACACTTTCAATAAACAGATCAAACTGCATAGAGGATCTAAGGCCACAGTGGAAGGTGATATGCGAAAGTCCTTGTTTGCTTCCAATCCCAAGTCACCAACCCAAAATGGCAGACCAAGCAGCATGGTTTTCAAGGAAGCACATACAGTGATTCCTGCCCACATAATAGCAGAAGCCATATCGACACTCCATGGTCTTGACCTAAGATGGTCAGGCCCAATCACACCAACTGAAATGCAATATGTTGAACAATATGTCCTAGCCAAGTACCCGGAGTACTCCAATGCTCTAGTTGAAGGAGGAGAGAAGACTGACCTCTACAATCTTTGCAGTCTCCGAGAGCCATCTCCCTGACCTAGACAAAACCCAGTTGGAGCCATCAAGATTGCTTGCTATTCTCACCAAGAAATCGTCGTTTCCGGGGAGTTTTCATCTCCTGTAATCCTCGTAATCTTTCGAACCCATCACGTTCGATTCCAGAGGAGCTGCCGAAGATGATAATGGAAACCCGAAAACACCAAATGGGTTGACCCGAATCTGCCCTCTAGCGCCATTAGAGCGAAACCCAGAAGCGAAACTCGGAGTTTTGTGGGTCAGTTTGCTGAGAAGCCTAGTGATCTTGGCCCTCGACGCCATTGTAGCCATCGCTGAACTTCATTTGTTGATGATAATGATCGTTTTAATCAGTTTTTAATGCTAGAGTCTCTCTCTCTCTCGCTCACTCACTCTCAAGTCGGCTATTTTTGGTGTTTTCGACTCGGTTGATTGCAACCGTTTGGCACTAGGAAAGAAAAAATTATGCATAGCATTACTCAATTCAGATGGGTCCGTTTGTGAATTTGATTATTTTAATTTGCTTTTTAATTAAGGACTTTACGTGAAAATTATATTAAGGGATTTTTATTGATAAGTCTAATTTAGAAGTATTTTAACTTAAGAAGTCCATGAATGAATTTTTTAACCCATTTAGTCCCATGTATGTATAGTTTTATTCCATAAAGTCCATTTTCTTAATTTACACTATTTTCTTGGACACTTATGCCCTTATATGTAATTTTGATACATTTATAAATATTTTTTCAACGATTAACAATTTAATGATGTGAACATTCATATTTTAAAAATCACATTTGTAGGAATGTAAATTGGCCCGTGGGCGGCCCGAAACCCGCCCGCGAGCCAGGGCGGGCCCGGCCCGTTGACAATGTGAATATTCACATTGACATGTTAACATTAACATTGATAGGAGTGTCAATACCTCCATAATTACCCCAAGATTCAATAATTTAATATTTTAAAGGGATTTTTATTGATAAGTCCAATTTAGAAGTGTTTTAACCCAAGAAGTCCATGAAGGAATTTTTTAACCCATTTAGTCCCATGTATGCATAGTTTTATTCCATAAAGTCCATTTTCTTGATTTACACTATTTTCTTGGACACTTATGCCCTTATATTTAATTTTGATACCCTTATAAATATTTTTTCGATCGAGGAGAAAATGAGAACTTCGAAATCGAAATCCTCTGAGATCTGGTATCGGAGATGAAACCGAGCTGAATAAGGGTTGAAATCTAAATTCCGGTGCTGGAGACGTG